GAGAATTTAATTGAAATTTAATTTTTAATTTTCCTTTAATGTTTAGGGTACCAAGCTGTTCTACCTTTCTGGAATAGTGCATGGAGAATATCAAAACCAAGAAATGCACAATCTGGGCCATTTTATTACAGTTATGAAGTTTAGGCCTCTCACATGGCAAACTTCTCACCCTTATATCCTGGCAGACAGGTAAAAAGCGACTGTAAACTTTTTCTTCCTGGGCCATATATTTCAAAGCTAAAAAGGCTAGAAAAAGAACAGTGATAGGATTTATTTTGTGCCTATTTGAATAGTCGGAGGTAGAAGTGTAGTTGATGGAAAATGTCTACTTATATCATTGCTCAAAGATGCTGTGCCTTTAGGAGTAAATTAACTATGAGAAATTTAGGACAATGGGAGGACTTGCAAGCATTTAAGGCTACAGGATGTGGCCCCATCCTACGTTCATCCTCAGTTTTCAGTGATGCTGCCTTCGTGTCCGGGTGCTTGAGTCCTCGTGTGTGCCTTCAGTTTCCTTCCTTTGTTCTCTTCTTTGTGCTGTGGTTTTCTCAGCCTGGAATACCCTTTCTCCACCTGCCAGAATCCAAGCCACAGTAAAAATCCCAGAGCACAGGCTTACCCGCTTCCAGAAAGGGATTTTCTGAATATGTTCTTCACTCCTCCCTGACCCCAGGTGGACGTCATCTCCCTGTCTGGTGTCTTCCGGAATGAATGTCACTTTCAGCCTAGAGACACAGTTTTGTGCCTGCCCCCTTTCCTCTGCTGGATGGTGAACGGTGCTTCCTTATTTCTGCATTGTCTAGTTTTCTAAATGACATGCTGGGTGGACAAGAGTGTGATGAGTCATTGACACATGAAAGGAAGTATAGGAACTTTTGGCATTGATTTCTGCTGTATGATTGAGTTTGTTTTTCTAGGATGGAAGATTTGACAAACCCAGAGGATATCCGAACAAACATGAAATGTGACCGTCAGGTGTCACTTTATGGTTATTTAAGAGGAGCACACTTGAAAAATAAAAACCAAATTCACGTGGCAGGTATTCTGTTGTTGTAGAACATACTAGAATTACACATAGGATTCTTGGGATGGCTTCATTTCTCAGGAAAACTGAAAAATGACCATATAAGGGAAGATGACCTTGCTGGAGGTTTTAAAAGTAAGCCAGCTATGTGTAGGCCTGCAAAGGTGTTACCGAATCCCCTCTTCTCTGACCTCTTGTCTTGTAGCTAGAGGGACACTATTCCCGTGTGGCATGATGCACTTCTTTAGGGTCATGGGTTAAGCCCTTGGACTGTGGATCGTTGTTAACCCCCAAGTCAACAGTAGATACTTACTGACTTCCTGTCAGCTGAAGCTGGCTTTTTGGGTCCTGTCTTCCAGGAATAGAAGATTTTGCCATGAGTGACATCAGTTTCCTCCCAGACCCTTGTGCTCTTCCTGAACAATGAAAGAAGCGCTGTTTAAATGAGAAGGAGCAGCTGGTTTATGTGCCTCTTTCTGGAGTTGGGCGTGTGCTGTATGACAAAGACGCTGTCTATGTTTCCTTGGTGGCAGCCATGGTTTTCAGGCATCGGTGAGACGGGGGTCATTGCTCTGAACTCTCATTATTCTTTCCGAGTCTATTTTTTAATCAAAAAAAGTAATGTACTCAGCTTTTATTTATTGAAGATTTTTCTCTTGTACTTATAATAAAGGCCCAAATGCATATTGTAAATATGTAGAATAAAAAGAATACCTTTTTTTCATTGTACCAAACAGAAGAGTCCTGTCCTGCATGCCTCCTTGATCCGTGGCCCCAGTGCGGGCCCTGCTGCCAGTGTGGCACCTGCACGGCTTATCTCCGTTTCTACAAAACCAGTGTGCTTGCCAACTCTCATTGGTCTTTCTCTTTTTCTCATTCACAATGGTCTCCTCATTCTTTATTTTAAAGCGGATTTCCAATATTTATTTCTTAGTTCTCAAGTGGAATTTTATTGGGTTAAAATCAGGGTTATTTAAAAATGTTAGAAAAGCTAGCACTGTTGTAGCACTGGAACTGAGATTTTTCTAGCTAGGTGTTTAGGTTATCAGGTTATATACTCACTGAGCTTTGGAAAAGTTTAATGGATATGGGGATCCATTTCAAGCTTTGTTGTAAGGATTTTCTTCTCTGGTTTTTGGGGCCTTAGGAAAGGTTCTCAGGAAATATGTCTAAGATAATTTTGAAAGCTGAGTGAAACCAGTGTCTCTCCAGGATCTTTGTGCTTTCCTCACATGCCCTTTCTTGGTGGTGTTGACGAGGTGGGGCCCACCCATGAGCTGGTCCAGAGTCTCATCTCTACCCACTCCACCATTGATGCCAAGGTGGCTTCAAGTCAGGTGATGCTGTTTTCTGATTCCAAGCCACTTGGGTCAGAGGCTATAGATAATCAAGGGGAAGTCTGCTTTTTTTCTATTTTTAATGAAAAGATGTATTACAGAAGATCATATCACCATAATTCTGCCATCGTAACACATTTTGGTGGGATTCACTCTATGTTGTTTTGTTTTTCTTTGTGTATGCATGTGTCTCTGAGGGCTCTTCACTTACCTGACATTACGAGGGAGTCTTTTCTAGAAATAAAATACAGGATGCATTTTTCAACAGACCCCAAATGTTCCTTAAATACCACGC